CACAGAAGACAGGACAGTTTGCAGCTTTAAGGCGCCAGCAGGTGACTTCACTTGACTCTTGTTAAAAGTGTGCTGTACACTGAAATCACCTTCTGTCGTGGGAAAATTAGGTGTTGGCTGACACGGGAGTATGCACAGCACTCCATGGTATATTGCTGCTTCACCCTGAATTAAATTAGACATCACAAGTAAAGAGAGTGTGGAAATCCTTCATAGTTTTCTCATTGTAGAGGTGAATTCAAGAAGTGGAATTTGTCAGCCTTTTAAATATTCTTTGTGTGATTCACTCTTTGAGTAAAAAAGTACTGGAGGCTAACTTATTTACTTTTAGAAAAGAAGGTTATTCTTAAATACTCTCTTTTCAACCTGTGTAAACTGAGCTAATATTTGGAGATATTTAAGACAATTCCCTCTGAAACTAATGTTACAGCCCAGCAGTCAAAGTGAGCAGCACCCTCAAACAGAGTATAAGAGACTATAGGCTTACTATATTAATGTGGCCTATTCCCTCGTCTTGGTCCTTAGAGAACACAATGAGCCCCACTGAGAACTCCATACTAGAGAGAGGCTCTCCATTGATGTCTCCTCGGCTCCCCTCCCCCTCTCTCTATGAGACATCTGTAGCAGCTGCCCCCTTGTGCTCCTGTCAGCAGGGCAGAGTGTGTGTTTGCGTGTGTGTATGCACTCGTTGAGGTGGGGTTGGCTGGGGAGGTTAGTGTGGGGCGTGTTATGACACCTCCCCCTTTGGAGGGGTCCAGCCCGCACACTTGTGGGACATCACATTTATCAATGGCTAATAGTCACTAGCAGGTCACCCTGAAAACACAACAGAGACCTTTCACCTCTTTTTAGCACAAAGGCTGCGAGGTGCCGAGGTGTCACGATAGCCCCTGGGCGCTTTAAAAAGAGCACAACAACTTTTTACATGTACATTTACCATCAGAAATCATGATAAAATATTATTTTTTACTTTGCTTTTTGACAAACTTTGCCTTAACTTAATGAAGTGACGAATACATTTCTCTGAAAAAAAGGGCACAAACTACTTTTAACATGAATATTTGCCATCAGAAATCTTGATATAATAATAATTCTTACTTTGCTTTTCAACAGCCCTCACCTTTATCTAATTTAATGACAAATAAATAGCTTTGCTTAGAGTAGAACACTACCATTTCAGGGCCTTGCTAAACACTATCACTGACAGCAAGTTCAGATATTACAGAACAAGAAGCCCTTTTCATTTAGTCTCAGTATATTCTTACAGACTTTCTCACACCAATCAAATTATGTGAGTATAATTCATAGAGTAAAATTACATTACAAGCATAAGGGGAATAACTCGGCTAGCTGCAATGTTAACAAGGGAGGAGGAGGGGTGAGACAAGCGGAGGAGAGTAAAGCGATGCGCCACTGAGACTTCCTATGAACTTTTTATGTCAAATAACAAAATAATCAGCAAAATCTTCCCTATAGTCTGAAAAGGTTATTCTGCCAACACAGGACTTTCTTAAGAATCTCAAAAGCAGCTCCACAAATTGCGTTCTCTAACTTTGTTACATAGTAAACAACATCTATGAGGCTTTCTTTTTCTCTTTGCTACATTTTGCAGACTAAATATAAGGTCATGTGCCAAAGAAAAACAGGATCTTGTGCACGGAGCAATGAAATCTGACCAATAACCTCAGAGACATGTATCCCTGCATCAGAGAGTCAAACCTCCAGTGTCCTGGTTGGGATGCTTTATGATTTAGTACCCAAACTTTACTTTTTAGTCAAAAGAAGTGTTAAAGTTACCCAACAAAACCCTTTATATGTAGCTTTCATGGTCTAGTAGTAATGTATTTTGATTATCTGACAATTGTCCACACCCTTCAGTATTTTGTTCTGTCTTTATTGAGGCAGAGAGCTGAGATGGATTAAAGAGAAGGCTCAACACAAGCGAGACCTAATCCTGGGAATTCAGGGTTACAGAAAGGCCTTAAAGAATATGTTTTGCTTAAAGTTAACTGCTATCTTTTTCTGCAAGAAGCTGGTGATTGAACATATTTTGTACTTTCAGTTTTGTCTCTAAATTTGATAATGATTGTGCATAAAAGTAAAGTACGGCATGAGCAGCTTCAACCGAGGATACAGACAATCCACCGAGACTTGCATAGAAAAGATATAAATAAATTAGCAAAGTGCAATTTTATCAAAACACTAAGTTTAAAAATCAGGTGAGAGTTTACCGGGGAGTGTTCAGTATCTATAGGATATAGCATATTCATTTACTGCATAGCATTCTTACATTAAATGAGATTTAGTGATGTTTAAAAGGTTAAAAGAGACTCAATAACAAAAACATCCCTTTACACTTTACACTTGGCATGCAGTAACATTTGCTAGTCAAGAGAGCCACTAAATGAATTCCACTAAAGCTTCCAGCAGGTGTACAGCATACGTAGTCTCATATTGAATAAACATCAACACAGATAATATTTAGTTTCAGTGTTTGTTTTCAAATGTCCAGAAATAATTAAGAAGCAAACATTACAACAATTTCCACTGTGAGTGATATGTTTAACACCCATAGATTTAAAATATCTGGACCTCATTTGAATACGCATTTCACACCTTTGAAAGACTATATGCAAAATAACTGCTGGATCAAGTTTAAAGAAAGCACACACAAAAGATCCTCCTATTTATTTTACATTTCAAAAGCATATGCTCATGAGGTGTCAACGCACTTAGCTGATCTAAGAGTCCATTGTCACTATTGTTGTTTTAATAGCTATGTGTAACATTCAATAAGTCATATATCATGATTAATCAAATATAGCTGACATTTAGGTGACGCTAAATGTTTTTTTCACACTCCAATGTAGCTCTAGAGCAAATATGTGAAGTCAAGTCACCGCACATTTTCTTACGCTGAAATAAATGTTTTTTACTGAGATAATTGTTTAGTTTTCTTATGTGTATTGAGCTAAAAAAAAAAAGCACAACATTCATCAAAAGGTTAAGCCAATTGTATGTTCTGCTCTAATGAAAAATAGCGTCAGCTTAGAAATTGTATTATGTAAGAGTCTAATATATGTCAATTACTACTACTACTTCTAATGATTATGAAGCAAACATACAGTTTTTCACAAGACAGCTGGATTTAAACTGCAGTATTTGCTGACAAAGATTATATGCAGCCCGGCGCTGACAATTTGCGCTTATCAATCTTGAGGATCAATTATTTTGGACAAAATACCTTAATGTGTATATAGGCTGTTTCTCATCTTTAACTCTGTATATTGTTTAAATAAATGAGAAGTGTGGAAGCTGAACATACCCGTACATGTTACACTTGACACCTCTCTTTTACGGGGTTAAGATAATGACCAAGTTTGCAGTTTTATTTAATCTCAGCCGTAGCATTAAGGCAGGAGCACTGGGTACAGGCGAAGGCAAACCTCTTCTTTAACAGTTGTTGTATGGTCTCAATTTAAATGGTAGAATAAACGGTGCCTTTAAAATTACGGCATTATCGATTCTCCTTTTCTAAAATCTACAATTTACAATAAGATGTAACAGTTTTAGTATCAATACTTCTGTTATAACACTACCTATCACTACTATCTGTGTTTTGTCCACAATAAAAGGCTTTTATAGGAGATTTTCCCATCCAAGGGTCTAAAGATAGGGGGTGTTCATGCTGAACAGACAGGAAAGCTCCGGTGTAATATGTAATATTGGAATTTATAAATAGAGCAGACTTGCATAGACTTGAATAGGCATCTTGGGGTATCAGTAAACATTTACGGAGTAGACAGTTGCTGAGAAATGTTGTGTATGGATGAAAATTAAACAGCAACCTGCTAAATGCACCACAACTGAGTATATTTAGCACTTAAACTGGAAGAAGCACGCCATTGACGGATACATATATTTACTATTGACACTCTTAATGTTATATTAAAGGATATGTTACCTCACGGTGTCTGCATTGTTATGACAAGGTCAAAAACTGTGTTTAAGGCACACCTAAAAGCTTATTGGCAATATGAGAGAGTAAACAGCTTCTGGAAATGTTTGATAAGCTCTTAAAATCCAGACCCCCAGCCTCCAAAGACAAAACTAATCTACTCATTGTCCTGTTTCTGGACTACAAATTGAAAATCCCTGCGGAAGTCCCTCCCTCCTCACTCCACTGTTGCACCTCGATGATGTAACCACTTTCCAAATATAGCGTGTTGCTGATGGCTCAGCGGCTCACCCATTAGTCGAGAGCGCTGTCAATCTCGTGACGTCACCTGCAGTGGTGTTATTATTGTAAACAGCCCGCCTGCTCTCCACCGACGCTCTGTGCCGAGCCGACTACTCCATCCAGTCCTTTGTTCATGCAGCGAAAACACCGACGCGACAAAAGCACAGTACCGGTCCGCCCAAAACTGCGGATAAAACCTCAGAGCAAAGTTTAAACACATCACCTGAAATAATGCCACCACATCTTTTTCATAAAATATTCGCTTCTCATGTTAGGGACATGTTTATCGATCACCGGGGTCTTCATGCACCCGGCGACGGCTCAAAGCTGCTGCATGAATAACAATAATAAACTGGTAGCCGGTCAATGCACAACTCTTCTTTGTCTACTCGGTTAAACGTTGGTTAGAATCACACACAAAATGATTTAACACTAGATGAACCAACAAAGAGTATTTTTTAGATTGACAGTCGTGTTGTCAATGGCTCCTTAAATGTCAAATTGTTGAAAAATAGTACTTGTCATTTTGCCTGGACCTCGACATCCCACAATTACCATAAAGTCCTTTAACTTATATTTTACCTCGTCAACTCGACAACGTTACATTTAAGGACTTTACTTTGTGCCCCGTGTCACAGAAAATCGACCAAAACGACTTTTATTGTTTTGCAGTGACTGACACTGTATGGAAAACTCAACTAGTCGAGAGGTCACAAAGCAAAAGTTGAAATTACTCCAGTGAATGTTTAATGGCACTTACTCGACAACCTGGATGTGTTTCGGAGTGATCGACTGCATCTCCCTCGCTGCCAGCCGGCTCCTGGTGACAGCCTCACCTCGACATTTCCATCCAGACAAGTTGACAACACGCTTCCATTCTCCGACTAAGTGCAGTTTCAGAAAAGCTTCAAGGAAGTTGTTTCTTTTGTTCCAGTGTTTTTGGTTGCGTCAATGTTGCGAAAAGGGGGAGGCGGAGCGGTGGATACGGAGAGCGACCGAGAAGAGAAAGAAAAAAAACACTCACATCTGAGCGCACCGTAGCCTAGTTCGCATGCCTGGCCATTAACGCGCAGAAAACCCTTCATCCAAATCCGCGATAAACTCGTCTCATCAGCTCAGCTCACGTGTCTGGGACGACCAGCATCCCTTCAAAGTGAAATAGACAGTCCTCGGTGCCCAGGTTTGATAGGCTGTCCAAGATCAGGCTACTACAGGTCGGTGCGCCCCGTGCGCGCGTATAGGAGCGGACACATTTGCACAGCCCGCCTCGATAACTTGGATTTCTTTACACAACTAGATTCCGAAGCTTTTTCAGCCTTACTTCCTTGCTTTCTATGGCGCGTAAAGGCTTTATGTCTGTTATTCATCGAGCCAGAGTCGTCAAAAAGAGAGCGCCTGCAGCCTACACGCCTCTCGACTTCAAACTCTAGTTCCCGGACAGTGCAGGGCGGTAACGAGATGCGCAGTAACGCGTTACCACCACCAACAGAGAGTGAATTAGACTAGCGATTTCCTTCCATTCCAAAACTATTCGCTATCACACAAAATCACCTTTTATTTCAGTATAAAAGCCAGGCTGACGCTGCGTAAATATCCCATCCATTCATTCCGTTTCCTGACAGGTTACTCGCTTTTTCTCACACATTATAGCCTAGCCAAGGTGGCAAAAAAGTTTACTTCCTCGCGGTGGAAGCGAAACTCAAAATACGTCCAAACACTTTGGACATCACAAACAGGCCAGGTGATTTGATTTCCTGCCTTTAGACGACAGATACACAGCACCGTAAAGTGACGCAACAAGTAGAGTAAACGACTGAGGATGTTGCCCTCATTTTGCAGAAAACTAGACATAAACAGAGTAATCTTTGATGTAACGAGCCGATGCTGTTCTTGGAAGCGAAGGCAGGGAGAGCTGAGACGGCTTATGCAGAAATAGGATCATGTTGGTTCATCGGATAAAAAGGTGAGCTCCCTGTTTCCGCGCCGCTGTTACAGGAGCGTTGCGTCAGGAAGTTGTTGGTGTCAGTGAAGTCACCATCAAGACGCCCTTCCCTCCATCCAGCCTGGCGACTATAGAGCAGCATATGCTTAATACGGGCCGCTATATAACATGAAAGCAAATGGAAACCAGCTCCTCCAGACCCTAAATGTCCTTGAACATTTTTTGACCTCATTGCAAAAGAGAATCTGACAAAAAGGTTTGCTACGATAGAGGTAAAATGCTACAGTCTGTCAGGAGGAAGTTAATCTCAAATGCTGCCGTTAGAATTAAGAAGTCAAACGTGAAGAAACAAAATGCACTTCTGATTAGTGTGACAGCTTTATGAAAACGTCAGAGGATTTGTAAAAGGAGCTCACCAGAGATATTCTTGGTGCAGTTAGGCCTGCAGATTCAGGCCTGATGTTATCCGGGCTTTGCAAAACTATTTCGAAGCGTTGAGAAATATTATAGTAGGCCTATACATATTGTTCAACAGGCACTGACTAGAACATCTTAAATTCAAAGGTAAGTAAAATAAGCCAACCATTTTACAAGCTGAGTTTAAAAATGATTGGGCTATGATTTAGCGTGGCTTGGAGCAACTATCTGCACAGGAGTGGAAAGTCTGATGGGAAACATTTTGGAGTTTTGAATTTGATTTGAATAGAGAAGCTAATTCTGTCTACTTGTTATAAAAAGCATCAATTCAAAAGGTTATTCTTTTATCAGTCACCTAATGAGGAAACGTTTCACTGACAACGTACATATTGTTCAACAGGCACTGACTAGAACATCTTAAATTCAAAGGTAAGTAAAATAATACTTTCTCTCAGGTGCACACCGTCTCATGACTGTCTGTAATGCTCACGATGCACAAGAAAACATTCAAGGAAAAATAAAAATGTTAAAGCCCTATTTCAGCACCAACTTTGACTAATTTGACTTACTGGGCGTGTACATAGTTCGTTTGCAATGTTTTATGACAAATCTGTTCGGAAATTGCAATGAACTAAACCCATTCTTTATTGTGCATGTGAGACAATTAGACATTTAAATTGATAATTGTATGAAAAACTGACGGAATTACTTTTTTCTTTTGCAAAATACAGACGCTTTTCAAAATGAAAATGGCACTTTTAATGATTTCCAATTAAACGATCGCCGTTTGATATGTCAGAACATAGATGCACATATCAATCATACGCACATTTGTATTAACATGTTCTGAAAGTTGAGTTTTACAGGATTCGTGCAACCTTTAAAAAACGAAAATAGAGTCAGAACCCAAAGCTGGAAAACCAGACTGGCGAGTTTTAATGCATACATAATACACCTATTTGCTTTTAATTACCCGAAGTGAACTTTTAAAACTGATAACCTACCTTTAGGTTCCTGTGATCTGTGCAGAAAGAAAATGATCAGCTGAAGAAAAGTTTAGACACTTGCTCACTTTCTCTGCGTGTGTGTTCGTGTGTGTGTGTGCGTGTGCGTGTGCGTGTGCGTGTGCGTGTGCGTGTGTGTGTGTTTGGGAGTGTCAAGCTCACAGTTATGCAGCAGTATTTGAATATGTGCCCGATGTGTGGGCTGATGCACAGTCAGAATGCAAAAAAGAAACAGTAAACAGGCGCAATAATCTGATGGGCTGCGGTTCTCCATAAAGGTCATCGATGAAGAACAAGACTGCAATAAGAGCGCCAAAATAGTTGTGGGGAGATTTTATATTTTCTACTTTTAAATCCGTCCACGAACCAATTTATTTTAAACAAAGTCACATGTTGCTGAAGTTGATGCAAGCTTGTGCTTTCCTCTCGGTCTCTCTGCTCAAACACTTGACTGCTGACTTTTTGAAAATATAACACAGATGAGCGTAAAAGACACCTTTAAAACGTTTTGATGAACTCCGAGTTGCACATGGACCAGGACCGTTCTCTCCCCTCTTAAAGTATGTTGAGCAGCATTGTTTTGAAACATAGTTTTTAACTTTTAATGCAAATTTAGTGCATAAAAAGTGTGCATTTGAGAGATGGCTAAATAAAAGATAAGATCTCATTTGGGATGCCAAATGTTGTAAAAGAGCAACTGAGACTATTAAAAAAAACATCACACCTTTTCTGTTTTACTTAGATATTTAGAATATGAGCAGCAACTGAAAGGTTATATTGTGTGGGAGGAATCTATATGACTCAAAATGAAAAAGTCAGTAGCCTCTTTGTGTGTGCACAGTAGCCTAATATAAATTATCACTGCTTTTCTCAACACTTCTTCAACTTTGTAGACAATAAAGAGGCCTGTAAGGTTATTAGTTATGTGCATATACAAGAAGTGAATACAAAAAAACATGATTCTTAAATAGTCTGTTAAGTTATTCATGCAAAATACAACTATTGTTATACTAAGTGTAGTTCAAACTTATAGGCTTTAAGGTTATTAGTTATGTGGACATTTACAAAAAGTGAATACAATATAACATGTTTCTTAAATAGTCTGTTAAGTTATTCATGCAAAAGACAACTATTGTTATACTAAGTGTAGATCTCAAACCTAGAGATCAATGAAGTCAAAGTGAACCCATTGCCCTGCACGTGATGCCTTTAGACAGAGTCACAGTGATGTCCCTACAAATTAAATTAGAAACTAGATCCCAAAGATTTTGACAATTGCAGAACACACTTCATGTGACAGCTATGCTTTTGACTCGTGCTAGAGTGAAAATGCAGTGGCAGCATGAAAACATTATCAGTGTCACTCTGTCAATGGTATCCTTGTCAGCTGCACGGGGACGCATCCGAGATCAATGATGTTCACTCAATTAACCTGATGGATGAAATGTCAGGGAGGTTATGGATGTGAGTGCGTTAAGCTCTCTTCTCTGAGGGAATATGTTCACGTCCCGGGCTGTGGTGTCTACAGGCCCGAGAGGAGACCGTGGGTGAGGCCTGTCCCAGCTGAAGCGCCCTGTGTCCAGAGCAGAAGTAGGTCAACAGAGACCGCTGGTTGGTGAGTTGGAACGATGCTGCTCTCTCACACACACAGGAAAGAAAAGGAAAGGAGAAAACAAAAAGAGCAAAAGAAAAATACTTGCCTTTCGATTGAGGGATAATTAGAGACTGTTTGACCTATTTGTCTCCTTAAATAAACCGTTGGCCATTTAGTGGGGAGTGGGCTGAAACCCTTCACTGGACCCCTCCAATTATGCTTTTTAATGGCAAATTGCCTGACGAGGTTCAAAGGTCTTCCCATTCTCTTGCCTGCTTTTCCTCTGTCTATACGTTAGTGTGTGGAAAAACACTCAATTAACCAGTCTTTGCCATAATAGGAAGCAGTAGTGTGTGTTTAACGGTCCAGCTCCAGTATGACAAACATTACAATTGTATCAATGCAAATAGAAAGTTTATAAAATGGAACAAGCGGACAAAAAGGCAAGAATAAAATAAAGAAGATAAGAAGCCGTAAAACTCGACAATGAAGAGGTTTTTCTGTAAAAGCGTGCCTCAAGAAACGAACAGAGGCTTACAGTAAAGGCCTGGTTCCTAGCTTTTTTAAGAGGTTACATTTTTTAACAAGTCTGTCTTCAAAACAACACTCACGTGCCCCCCATACATCAAAACAGTTATAAGACACTGTAATTATTTCTCTGCCTCTTCTTGGAACAACTTGTAAAGCTCTGACAGTCATTGAGGGCCATATATCACTGTGCCTTAAAAGCCGTCAGTAAAACTTAATAGCAACATGCAACCCTGTGTGGAGCGAGTAAAACACAAGGTTGTGCAGCTGAGCTTTCTCGATGTGGCTGTAAGAAATGTATGACTTTAACACAGAAGGGAGTAAAACATCCAAGCACAGAGGCAGTGTTATTGAGATAGAAGTGAATATTACAACATATACATAGCAAAACTTGTGATGTAGTGTATGGTTATGTAATGTAGAAAGAAGAACAAGCTGACAGGAAGTAAAACACACATTGCTCCTTAATGCAAAACCACTGTATGCACAAAAGGTGTCCTATATTCACAGAGTGCTTATGGGCTGGTGTCCATTGGGACAGCAAGTGTCCCTGTGATAAGTTCCCTGTCCTACCCTGCTCAGTCTCCAGCACAATGGGAACCAACAGGTAACTTAGCGACCTGAGCCAAACACATTTTCCACAGTAAACCTGAACACAAAGGCTAATCACAACAGTATATGTTCCCTTTTTGTTGACCTACAAAGGGATTGCCATTAGTCAGATACATGCAAACCTAACCCTACCTGAAGAACCGGATAAAACACATTAAGCTGAATTCTGTTTCCTCTTTATTTCCAGTGGAGAGCTGGACTCAGGAGCTATTTGCATGCGTACAGTATGTGTGTGTGCAAGAGTGATAAAAGCAAAGAGAGGAAACACACGGAAGTGACCAAACATATCAACTGTTGGAGGGCTTCAGCTGTGCCTCATGAGTGAGGCCTATGACTAAGATCGGAAGAGAGTAGGAGTGTGCCAATGTTGCCATACCAATACTGCAGTGGGAAAAAAGAGAAGGTGGGAAAGAGTGGATGGTGATTGGACCGGGCATGGATACACCAAATAAGACCAAAAATAGAAAGTGTGTGGAGTGGGATGGTAGTGTAGTGCACCCTCCTCTATTTAAACATTTACATCTTGATGACCCGCATCTCAAAATGATACTCACGCATGTTGTGTGTGGAAGTTCATACATTATGTACAGTCTGTGTGTGAATGCATGTTGTGAATTATTAACCTATTGTGTTCATCAGTCAGTCTACAGGATGTGCCGTATTTTATTTTAAGACATGGATAGGATTGCATGCAAGCTTTTACTCCAACAAACACAACACAAAGTACATGGACACAAAGGGGAAGTAATCACTAGAATTGCCTGCTTCCTCTTCTCCGTTCTAAGTATATCTTTCTTGTCAACTGGACACAAGTTATTGCACTGAAGCCAACTTTATGAGTAGTAAGGAGTGACTGAAAAGTATAAATATGCTGTCAAATATGCCCCTGCAACACATTTCTGCCTCAGCCTCTTCTTTGCTGCTTATTTGATTTGATTATCCCTGACCAAATGGTTCCTCCATAG